CAGGGAAAACCTCATGATATCTGCATGATTATTTTTCCCCCACAAGGGTGTTAATTTCAATGGCTTTATCTGTGTTTTTGCCATTATTTATATAGCTGAATATTTTAGTATCCTAATTCATCAGTATCCAGTTTCCATTTATTAGCACTCTGATGAATTGATAATTAATCAGTTCTTCTAAAATATATATATATAAAATATGCAGGTGATCGCTTGTCAGCTTAATGCTTGCTGATGAAGGGAATACTCTAGCACTACAAAGGCTTTTTATCTGGAGTATTTGCAATGAGCGGTAAAATGCAGAACTGAAAGTGAGGACAGGAAGGGGAAAGGAAAAGACCTACCAGGTCAGTGAGCATCTGGGTCTCGTGCTAATTAAATGGGGGACTCTGTCAGCCCCTCACTGAGGAGTCTGCCTGCATCTTGGAGGTGAAGCGTAAGATTATAAACTAAAAAGGAAAGATTTTAAAGAATTGCTGTTGCTCCGTACAGGAGCACAACAGGTCAAAAAGATTAAAGAAACTCAAGAGGAAGGAAAGCGTGTGAGGAGGTTTTAAGCAAGAGAGTGGGAAAACTGCAAGGGTGATGCCAAGAAGGGATCTGGAAAAGTCTGAGGACTGTGTTGAAATCCTGGGTACTCAGATTTCTGTATGCCATGCCTTGTGCTGCAGTGGGGAGTACCTGGCACTCCTCTAACGCCGTCGACCTTTTTCTCTTGACAGTCTAACAAAGTGCCAGTTGTGCAGCACCCACACCATGTACACCCTCTTACACCGCTTATCACGTACAGCAATGAGCACTTCACACCGGGAAACCCTCCTCCGCACTTACCAGCCGACGTAGATCCCAAAACAGGTAGGTGGGAAATAGCGTGGGGTTTTTTGAGAGTGGGTGTGTGGATCTTTCCATTTTGCGTGTTGGGGGAAGGAGTGCAAGAGGAAGGATTTCCTATGCTGGAGCACCAAAGGGGGCATGTAAAATGTCACACGCATGCAAGAACCCAGACAAAATAGTTTCTTTTTAAGCCAATTAGGCTTCAGAAGGAAACCTACTGGGTGAATTTTCATAAAGCTTCTGCAGGGTGATACCAGAGTTGCATGTGTGGGGTTGTTTGCAGGTGTGGTTTTTTGCAAGCATGATACCCCAGCTAGTAGTTCGATCTACCAAGTGCTTGGTTTGCATGCACAACCCAGAGTTAAACATGTACGTTCTGTGATCTGCACTTACAAATTGCAGCTGGAATTTTAAAGGTGGTGGGTTATGACCAGTTTCAAAACGAATCTCTTTTAATTCCCCAAATCCCATTGTTTCTGTGTCAGGAGTTCAGCCATTTTTCTCCTATAATGTTGAATTTTCATCCACTCTAACTACTTAGCTCCAGCTCTACACTTGCAACTCTTTTCCCCAATGTAAGTCTACCCAACTCTCAGTTCAGCCTGAAGGGCAGTCTTCTTGAATATAGAGCACCGCGTAAAACCCTGACTAGATTTATTGGTGTTACAGAGTAGAATTTACATGTTATTCTAACTTTTTAAGAGTCCCTGTTTAACCTGAGGGCTCAGAGAAGTCAAACAGTGTCAATCTTCTTTCTTCAGGCTGCATTGAGTTCCTAGTGACAGTGGTTTTGTTTTTGTTAATCCAAATCCCAGCTAGTTAATTGGAAAGTACATCAGAAACTGAATTCATGTCAAAGGAATCGCTCTATGTCAGCCCTAATGTATGCAGATAATTTATCTAAACTCCAGCCCTTGAATGAGGCTGTGCATTAGCTGGTTTTCACTCCCTATGCTTCAACTGGGGCCCCCTTTTAATTGTGCTTAATGCTAACTTCACATGGCTTAAAAGGAATCCATCTCGCCATCCCTGGGTATTGCAAGTGAATGGCATAGTCAACCTCTCATTTAAATAATGGTAGTACAGGGAATAGCTTTTAAATGGTTATCGTAAAACATATGATTAACGTCTGTGGACTGTTTACTTTTCTTCTGTGAACATTCTTTCAAGTGTGCAAATAGCTCGCCGGATGGTTAAAGCCCAGTTAATCTGTTTGGGTTTTGTAATGGAGAAAAAGCAATGTCTGCATGAAAATGTCACACAAGGAGATTTAATTTAGAGATTAAAAGCTTCCCGAGTGACTTAAAAAAATAGTTTTTAGCCATGAATACAGTACCCCTTCCTTTTAATGCTCTCTGTTTTAATTTTGCTTCTGCTGTGTAATTGTGCTCTGGCTTGTTAATTGAAAGACCCAGTCTTGTAACCCTTACTCCTCTGAGTAATTCCCACTTGTTCTTAAGGTAAGGAGCGTTAAGATTTAGGGCTTGTGTCTGGAGCTGTCTTCTGCTCTCCGAGTAGGAACTGCACCAGTTTCAGAGAGGATGGATGGGCTCTCTGTCCTTCCCTGCATGCCTTCAACATCTGCCCCTGGTTTTACCAAGTATTTCCAGGGGCTCTCACCTCCACTCCTAGGTTTTGGGAAAGGTTTCCTAGGTCTGCTCAAAAGCAAACTTTGTTTGCAATTATAATGACTTTGTAACTCGTTTTGGAGGTTACTTTGGAATAACGCCATGCTATTGAGTACCCAGTCAACATGTGGGTAGGGCCTGTGCTTTTTTGGTGACTTTGAGACTAAAATAACCATGAAGTTGATACAGGGACCATCTTTCTGTTGGGCATTTAAGACAGCACCTAGCACAGCATCACACCAAAACTATAGCGGAGACTCCTAAATTCTCATCCTAAATAACAAAATAATTATCTCTGATTGGAGAGGTGACTGAGGGAGCGAATCACATCAGTTTTTCTGGTTGAATCTCATTTAACAAGATGCGAAGAGGCTCACTTTATAAAATAAGACTGTGAAACAGCCTTTGGAAACCCAAAGTGAAGCCATGAGTATTGTAATAAAAATGAATAGATAGCAATTTAGAAACATATGTGTTTTTTCCTTATACTTTATTTATTTCCATGTCTCAATCCTAACGCTGCTTTATGTTCTTCTTCCATAGGAATTCCAAGGCCTCCACATCCTCCAGATATATCTCCTTATTATCCGTTATCACCAGGCACTGTAGGACAAATCCCCCATCCGCTAGGATGGTTAGTACCACAGTAAGGAGTTCCATTTTTTTAATTTCCTTTTTCTTTTTTGATGTGTAAAATTTATGTTAAAAATCGTGTGTGTGCGCATGTGTGTGTGCATTGAGATAAGTCTGTTTGCCAACTGCCACTTCATTGAGTGGTTATGAATTTACCCACCTCATGAAGATTAATTAAAACTTATGCCAGGTCATGTGGTCTTAAACAAACATGAGCAGTTGGACACAGCTTTGCATGTCATCTCAACCAGCTGACAGCTTGTGAAGCATGAATTTTTAAACCCTTCTGCAGAAATGTCCTTTTCTTGTTGATGCATTTACACTTCACCATGTGGGTTTTTCTCAGATCTGGTTTTCTGGGGGCTCAGGGTGGTTCTCATGGACTATTTTTTACCAGGGCCATCCTCACTATAAATGTACAATTTGAAATTTCATTGGCCTTCCCTGTTGAAACCCCTTTCGTTTTTCTTGTGAAACAGTAGAGCTTTATATCGGCCAGTGAGCAGCATTCCTGGTCGAGACGTGGCTGGGCAGTTGGCATCTAAGGAATGGAATTTTCTTGCAAACAAGAAAGAGGAATTAGTTTACTTTAAAACCGGCTAAGAAAAAGAGCCGTGGAAAGTTAGTTTGGGGTTTTGTTTTCTTTTCAGCTCCTCATATCCCACTTGCAGAGCCTTGTTGGGTATGAGGTTCCCTCCAGTAATTAAGTTCTTATTTTCTTTTTTTCTTATGTTGCTGTCTCTGCAATGGGTTTATAATGCACTTAAGCCCTGCTGAGGCCTTTTGTACAGTATATTTGATTTAAATACTTACAAAATACATTTGTATTGCTGGATACAATGGTTCTCTGCATTATAAATCAAGACTATTACCCTATTTTTCTCATATAACAGGCCTCATCAATTTTGGGGAGATCATATTTCTTTAGAAATGAATTGCCCAAAGCTAGAAATAGTTTGTTCCGGCTCGATGTTGTTTGGCCAGCTGTGCTAAATACCTCTTCACAAGTTTGCCCTCTGTAAGGAAATGGAGTTCGCACCCCGTAGGAGAGCAGGGCAGAGCAGGGGGTCCCCACACACACCCAGGTCTTGGGCAGGGAGGTGAATTGGTGTCAAAGGCTTTGGGGGCCTCTCTCAAGCACAGAAGTGTGGATGCAGGAGAGCTGGAGCTCAGACCTCGGCCACGGCAGCCTGCTTCTGGCCACTTTGCAGGCTGCCCTTCCTCGCAGGGTGGTCGTGCAACTTGTTTGCGTAGAGGCTCTCCCACCCTGAGTGTGAAGCATGTCCATCAGCTCTCTGCAGAAGGCTGTTTCTCCAAAAGAGCACAGCATGAGCAGAAGAAAAACCCAGAGCATTGCTCCCTGAAATCTTAAATTCCTCATTTGTGGTGATTTACTTTTTACGTAGGACACCCTGAACGCTGGTAGAATGCATGTCAGCTCCTTTATTGCTTGCAGGGCCCAGCTGCAGTACAGCCATCTCATGCTCCTCTGTTGCAACGGCTTACCTCAAGTTTGCACAGTAACAGCCTCGGCATTTAAAACAAATATACTCAGCTAATGCCAAAAGTCAGTAACATTAAAGACATGAGAGTGCAGGGAAGAAATTCCTCACTGTCATTGACCTGTGCCTCATTGCTCATCTGTGTCTCAGAGCCTTACATCTTTATGTTTGCAGACACAGGTTTGTCCTTGAACCTCATGTCATGGCTGCCAAACCACTCAAATGTTGCCATGTGTGGCCAGTTTCATCAGGCTAATGGCCATCTCTGTCACAGGAAGACTGTGTCATCACCACTGGTTTATAACAAGTCAGCATCCATGGCATACTTATCTACCACAGCTCTTACAGCTTCTCCAAGTGTTTTTTGTTGAGGGATGATACCATCACATTTGCTTTTGCTCTAGGAGAATAGCATGGCCAACTTTGCAGAAGTAACCCAAGGTTTTTATTTCCCCTCTCATTGCCACTCATGCTTCACCATCAACTTCCAAACCCACCCATCCTCAACTGGCCTGCATGTCTCTAGCATAGGACCCCCCTCAGAAAGCATCCTGCCCAGTCAGATGATATATTTGAAGGACAGATGAAAAGAACTAGCCAGCACAGACAAACCTCAATCAGAAAAAGTTGTGTGTCTTTCATGAGGATGCTGTTTTGCATGTTGCTGTATTTTTTAATTATTGTAATGAGGTGTGATTGTCTATTGGTTACCCACAATACTTCTTGGGGACTCTCCCCCGGTAACTCTTGTCAACACTTGTTAATCTGACAAAAGGCTACAAATTAAGCTCTGTTAATTTAATGTTTTCTCACCGAGATCTAAATACCGAAAGAGGCCCAAAGCGCAACTGAAGTCCTTTGATTCACTGTACTTTATTTTGGTATAAATTTACATTCATTATTGTTTTCCTTTGGATGTGTAGCCCTCAATTAGTGTGATGGCTCCATTAAAGCAAGCGAGACTTCGCCTTTAATTATTACAACAAAACACCTAGTTTCAGCTTGGGGAGAGGGTCTCTATTGACATAAGCAGAGGTTATAAAATTTAATTAGCCATTCCTATCTGATTTATGGCATTCAAATTGTTCTGTGTTTCTTTCCTTTGATCCTTGCTGTACAATCCCCAAGATTTTTGTTCTGATCAAATGAGAATAAAGCTTACTGTGCAGAGAGAAGTTTTTTGTTGGGTTTGTTTTTTTTTTTAAACCCTTTTGTCTTTCTCTTATTCTCTCTTTCCCTTCTTTTTTGCCAGGCAAGGTCAGCCAGTGTACCCAATCACGACAGGGGGTTTCCGCCACCCTTACCCAACAGCTCTGACCGTCAATGCTTCCATGTCAAGGTGAGTTCAAATGCTGAGGTCCTGAATTGAGAGCAAATGTAACTCCTCCTGCCGCCCTCTCTAGAGGAGGGCATTTCATCTAGGAAGCGTATTTCTGAAAGCACTTCAGTTAAATAGTCATCCTTAGTTTTTTGGTGGGGCAGAGGAAGAGAGGACGAGGGGTACCTTCCCATTTGAGGAGAAGAGGGTGTCCTAGTGCTGTCATTGGGCTTTAAGAATTTGTTTTTGAGGGAGAGGTGGAGGAGCGGGAAGTCATCTTTATAAGCCAAACTAAATGAAAAAGCTGGGAGAATGTGATGTTGAAAGAGCAGGGAGGAGAAGTCGTGATACCTTTTGCTTTCTCGGTGGCTATCACCCAGAGCAGCGCTCTGTGTGCGAGAGGGAAGTCTCAGGAGGGAGGAGGGCTGCTCTTCAAGCAGAGTTGGGAGGAAGGTTATTGCACTATGTTTTCCCCTACCAAAGCTCCAAACACTGATAGTCAACATAAAAGGGCCTGCCTGACCCTCTAAAGCTTTAGAAGTATATATTTCTCCCCCTCCCTACCTCCAATTAATTCCATCTAATTTTCCAGGGGCTGCTAGTTTTATTTACAAACTGGTTGGCAGCACTATGTTTAAGTAATCACTAATTGCTCCTAATGATAGTTTTATTTTCTGTTCATCTGATTTTCAGTCTGGTTAATTAAATCGGTGGAGGTTTAGACTTTCCTGATGGGCTGAAACAGCTAATCCATTTTGATGATGGCACATAATTAAATTAGCATGCATTACATAGCAAGGTTCCACATCTCTTCCCTGCTCTGTCCCTTCCTCTCCATCTCTGCAGTTTAATATGTGAAGGTTGGTGTATAGAGGATTTAAGGAGGAAAAGATGCGGGGGGGATGGGTAAGGAAATAGTGTGTTGTGTGCTTTAGATAAGTAGAGTAAAAGCAAAAAATTAAAATTTGCCCGTGTTGCTCCAGCAAATAGAGAGACAACTGGAAAATCAACTTGAAAAAAAAAATTAATAGACCCAGCACAGGGGAGAAAAAAATCCTGGATTGGGGAGAGCTGCAAATTTAAACAATGGTTCCCTCCCTCCATTTAATCTTTTTTAATATCTATAAAAGACTTGCAGGCATGGTGTGAGGCAAAGTAGAGCTTGATTTAGTTTAATTATTATTAGAGAGGCTAGTCATTTGAGGGAGGGGGGAGATGTGGGAGGGGGGAGACTATATTCCCAAGATAGGCTTTATGAAAGGTATCTAGTTAAAAAGAGTACACAGCAAATTAAATACATTATTGTGGTAATGGGACGACAGAAGTAGAGGTCTATTATACTTATGGCAGTTATAGGAAATGTAGGCTCCTTGCCCTGTTCTAGCACATCCTTTGATATTCATTCCATTCAGCAGCAGGGCCAGGACTTCTCAGAATTAAGTGATGGGTCATTATACTTTAAACACCATGGAGAAGCCTAGATTGGCAATTAAACAGCACTTGCTGACACTCGCTTGTGCCACCCTGTGACCCCCTTTAGATTGAGTTGTTGGAGCTCGGGGCCCTCAGCCTGCTAAATTGGTAGCAGGCACTTCTCCTGACGAGGGCTGGCTCTGAAATCTGCCGGCTTCAAAGGGAGCAAGATCATGTATAAACCATAATGTGGGTGCACCGTGGCTCAAAAAATAAGGCAGGAATAGATGAAATGTTACAAGTGCAAGGGGAAAATGAGAGAATAATGACAAATCTAATGCAACTCAAAGCAGAATTGTTGCACAGAAAAATGCATCCCACTGCTTGTGCATAAAATCAAGGCAGGCAGATGACATCCAGTTAACAGAAACATGTCAACAGTGAAGTAAAGTGAGAGTGAGTAAGAGAGAAGCCCCTGAGACAGCCAGGAACAAAAAATTAGTTGTCCTTAACAAGTTAAGACTCATCATTATATTCTGGCTTGGAGCCATAAAAGGAGACAGTGGTGTATAATGAGCTGCTTAGAATTTTTAGGGTGTTTATTGCAATTCATGGAATACTTGTCTAGAGAAAAAAATACAAGGGGATGTCTTAGGCGAAGGTGAGGGGTGTGCATATACGCACACAGCCTTTCTTTTTGTCTCTGACATAAGCCTGTACGCGCACACATGCTCAGGCACACACGCAGAGTGATGAATAGATTTAAGATGTTTATCCTTTGTTTCAGCCCAGAAACTTCTCTCCTGGTTTCCCATACATGGGAACACCCTCTGGGCAGACCGTGCTCTGATATGTGGTTCGACGCATGTTTTCTCATGCCTGCCATATCAGCTAGAACGCCTGAGCTCAGCCGTGGGACAGCCCTTGCCCTGAGTAGCCAACACACTTGGGAGATGGGGCTGGCGTGCCTGGGGATGCCCACGCTTGCCTGCGGACATGCCGTTCATGGCTGGCCTCCTGGCAACAGCCCCGCAGCGCCCTGGTACAAGCCTTGGGATTGCTGTGTTGACTCTGCCCAAACGTTGAAGCCAGGGCAGACCCCAATCTCACCCCTCCATCCACATTTAAAGTAGTTCCTGTCTTTGCCTGCATTATGGTATAGACCTTTGGAGCATATAATGCTTCCCAACCCTGAATATTCTCTTAGCTTAGTAATTACAGTTCATTAGTTAAAGTGTGCTTATGAATAGTTTATAAAAGGTTAATGGGTGACTAATAGTGATTTTCATAAATGGTTTAGACTATTAAGGTAGTGTCTTCAGGTTGTTTTAACCATTTACAACTCTTTTCTCTGCTTGTAGTATCGCCCCACTCACTTTGTATGCATGCAACATGCTTATAACATCTCTTGATCCTTCATTACCCCTCTATAATATGCCCTTAATGTAAATTGAGATAGGGTTAACTGACTGATGGGCAAACAGTGGACCCACTATGAAAAAACAACTGCTGTGAGAGGAAATCAGGAAATAATTTAGCAGAGTTACGCCAGACAAACACTGCACAGCAGTTAGGTGGTGGCAGTGGAAAATACCTTCTGTAATTGAAATTTCAGGGGAAATTCACTTTTGCTGAATGTAATTACTGAAGTTGGTGTGTAGCCAGGAACTTAAAAATTAACACTCTTCCCCCACTCATATTGCCATGTGGGTGGATGTCTACGTGGAAATAAGTAGGTACTCAGACTTTGGGCTGAACTCTCACCCAGTCCACTGAAGTCCATGGGATTGTGAGAGCAACTTTGGGTTCTGGAGCATGTTTTTATAGCCCCAAACATAGGAAGGAGTGTGTAAGTCCAATAGGCAGCCTTGTGTCTTGGAGGGAGAGAGATTCAGTGTGAAATAATGAACGGTCATTGGCAATGAACACACAACTTCCTTGGGGAGACTGCCACCCGGAAAATAACTACTGAGCTGCAGATGCCTTGTTGATTAAGGCTGCTGTGTCTCTGAAGTTTATAGCTCAGTGCTTAAAATTTCAGCCCAGCTGAAGTCCTCGCCATCCTCCAGACTTTCACACAACATGCGTACGTAGGCTTTTCCTCCTCTGCTGCCCTTCCTCCCCATCTGGTTACTCTCTGATGTGCAAATACTTTCTTTCTCTTAAACGGTAATTGGGAAAACATTTTTCCCATAATTAGGGGGGAAGTTACATTTTTTGCAGATTTTCTTCACCCTCCTCAATTTTTTATTAGCTGGAGGTACTTAAATCTTCATCAAAAATAAACAAATAAAATAACCCCCTATCTTTTGTTGAATTTGTACGGTCAGGATGTTCAAAGGAAACAACAATCGACCATGTAGGCAGAGTTCATTTTGCAGTGTGTTTTAATTTTTGACCAGATACTCATTTGAGAAGCAAGTCTATGACCCAGTTATCATGGCCACATCACAGGATCCTCTTCAGAAGCTTAACAAGCACCATCTTTTGTCCCCATTAACTCCAGCTGTAATTAGTCTTTTGTGATATTTGGGAGCCCTTCTCCAGTGATGAGTCTAATCTTATTCAAGTCCACTCTCATACCCTTTTGTCCTTGTGCTACCACTGCACTCAGCTCAGCTCTTCTTCCTTGCTGGTGTATGTCCACTGCCCTTCCCACTGTGTCCTCATGTCAAACAAGCGCAGCTCTTCCGGCCTGTTCTCTGAAGGTAGGCTTTTCGTCTCTGTCTTCATCCTTCATTGTCCCATTGTCACTGGCTCTTGTTCCAGTTTGAACCCTAGCTAGCCCCAGCAGCATAGTCCTCTCTTGAACGCTGGGTCTTGCCTAGGACAGACAGTCATTCGATAGGATGTGTGTCAACTTTTCATCACTATGCTTATACCACTTTCAGTGAGGTCAGGATTTTGCCATGGGTTTTATTTTCACCCATGTTCATAAGTTATTTTTTTAAAAAAAGCTCTTCCTGTCAGTTTTTATTGTTTGCATTGTACTATGGCTGAAGGCCCCAGGCACTGTGTGAACAAACTTTAAGTATGTCCAATCAAAATACATACACACAAAAATAAAGAAAGGGAGAACAGAAAAAAATTATACAAAGGCCCAGTTTGTGTCTTGCTGATGGTGAGGCAATTCTGTGGCAGAAGTGGGACCAGGATGTCGGTCTCCTTGCAGCCTCGCCATTGTCTTCTCTCCTGACCTACCATGCACCAAAGCATTTCCCCAAACATGCATTTCTCTCTCAGCTACTTTTGTCAGAGAGTGGGGAAGGCATTTTGACAATCCACTTGGAGATTTGTGTCCGTGAGTCTTTAGCAGAGGTAGGAATGGCCATTTTGCTGCCTGTTTCGCTCTTCCCTTGCCATTACACCCTTCTCCTTTCCTTCCCTCCATGCCTTTGTTTGTGAGGAACTGCAATTCTCTACAGTTTGAACAATTTCACATTCTCCCTGTCAGTCCCTGCTCTTCCCACCACTGTCTTCAAAGACAAAATACTTCTGTATAATGATCCTGAGTACTACCAGCTGACAGACAAAGATCCTCAGAGCTCATAGTGGACAGTACCTCTTGTTCATGAAAGTACTACTGTGTCATCTTGTGAATGTAGGGAATGTCTAGGCAGTTGGGGGGGGCAGGGTTTAAGATCAGTAGTGGAATTTATAAGAGGGGACAAATAAAGAAATCCCATTATATTTCTGATACTTGTACACAGTCTATTTATCCATGGTATATCACCCCATTTTAAGTCCTGTTTGATAGAAAAAGTCATTGTATATTGATGATAGAAGAAATAATTCTTTATCCCGTTGTGTGTTCCATAGTCTTGGGGTATTTTATTTAGACCAAGATGGTTCAAAATCTGGGATGAGAGTAGGGATTTGCAATGATAAAAAACCTTGTCGTTTGCTAGATGACTTTAGCTTCAGAATTTTGGGGGAAGTTATTTCTGAGCCAAAATTTTAGGCTAGATCCCATTCCCTGGAAACCTGTTGACTTCGGTGGGGGTTTTCTAAGGGAAGGGCACACAGTCATAGCATGCTTTCCTTATTCACCGCAAAATCTTTTTGAGACTGTTGAGAAATAATGATAAGAAGTCAATCTTGCTTTTGAGAAGTTTCTTCATTTTGGTTAAAAAGTAAAGAGTCTGAATGATTGTGCCATGTTCGTGCTGTGGCCCTGACCAAGCAATTAGATTTATGCAGAAGGGTTGCATAACCCTCTGAATCCAGTTGCAGGACTGGGGCCTGTCCGTGTATATGACCATAAACCATAAAGCTGACAACATGTTTTCTCTTTAGAAAGGCTAGACTGTTATTTTGCATGAATTTAAGCCTTCCTAGGCTACCTAGGTCAAAACTGACTTAATTCCACAATCTTCCCACCTCCTGTTAAAGCAATGTGACTCAGAGATTTATTAGAGATAAATAAATATTTTCCTTTGCTCCATCAACAAAATGTAGCTAATGAGGCATCTATAAGGATTATAAAAAATGCATCTAGATTGTGTTGGCATTAATATTTTATTTTGCTGTCGATATGCAACAAAAGATGTCATCCCAAATTCACAACATGATTCAGAACTATAAAAATTGATTCCTTGGTTGCCACAGATAATTTCTTAGCAAAGAAATGGACTGGTGGATTTTCTTGGAGGTAGCTGAAATTCCACTTTCATCCAAGTTCATCCAGTTGAATTTGCCTTTTGTTAAAGATGTTAAAAATCATGATGTCTCATGTCAGTAATGATAATGAAGGGGAAGATTGGCTTTAATGACATTAGAAGAGTCATTATGTTTAATTTATTGCTAATTAATGCTGCCAGCTTTCATATACTTTGTCTAGCTGTCATGTGCTTGTTATATGCCTTTTTTTTTTTAAATGTGTGTACACATCCCTCCCCATTCATTCATTTTTATTCTGACGATTTACACAGCTTTCTCTCCTCTAGGTTTCCTCCACACATGGTCCCGCCACACCATAGTTTACATACAACTGGAATCCCTCATCCGGCCATAGTCACACCAACAGTCAAACAGGAATCTTCCCAGAGCGACGTTGGCTCACTCCACAGCTCGTAAGTTGTTGCTTCCCGTGTCATCTTATTAGAACACCCAAAGCATCACCTGTGCATGTGTGGCTTTCAGAAAGGCTTGGATTTGTAGGAATGTTTTTGCTGTAAAATATTTTTTGACTTGCTTTTTCTCTTCTGTTCTAATTGATTTGAACATGGTTTAAGTACCAAAGTGTGTCAAAATAATGGTAACAGTCTTTCAGAGTCATTCTGTGACATAGACAAGTAGTTATTAATTTCACCCATTTTAACAAGGAAGTGGAATTTTCTTGATCAATATTCAAGCTTCTTGACCGGTTTCCCTGTTACTCAGTGCCTGGTTTGAAGCCATGAGATACCGGATGCACAACAGGAGACAATAAATCAGAGCATAAATGGCTTGTTCAAAGCTGCAAAGAGAGCTGGTATCAAGTTCAGGTTTGAACCGAGGAGAGCCCTGGTCTACCTCTGCCCCTAGTGCTTCTGGTGCCTCTTGCCTTTCATTTCACAGGTGAAGCAGAAAGACAGCATTTCAGTTCCCAGTGATGATGGGGTGTAATTATTTCCTCTACCATCATGCTCACAAGCCCTCCCCATGAACCCATTTTCCTGAGTGCCCATGTCCTTCTGAGGTTCTTCTAGGAGCTGAGAGGGTACTTGGTGATATTGTGTAAATATGAGATAGGTTATCTTATAATGCTCTTAAAACTGTTCTCATACAGCAGCCAGGGTGAAGGCCCTAGAGAACCTTCTGGTCCTCTTTTTAGAGACTAATTTCTGAGGATTAATGCTAGAGGGATTGAGGGGATTAATTTAATAAATTCACAAGAGTTCTCACTGTGAGGTTTATGTCTGTTGTATCTTTACCCTTCAGAAAACATCAGGACTCCAAAAAAGAAGAAGAGAAAAAGAAGCCACACATAAAGAAACCTCTTAATGCATTTATGTTGTATATGAAGGAAATGAGAGCAAAAGTTGTAGCAGAATGCACATTGAAAGAGAGCGCAGCCATCAACCAAATCCTTGGTCGAAGGGTAGGTAACAAGGGAGAAGCCCACACAGGGACTGAAACTTGGTAGGATTCACGCTGCTTGCAGAGAAGGGGAGTTGCAGCCTTCTGAATCACCATGTTTTCCTGTTCTTTTGGTAATAGATAGGGAAGTAACTAAACCGAAGGCCTTCTTTTGTTTTTTGTTTTTGCAGACACTTTTTGCTAGTGGGGTCATTCACAAGGAAGGGGGGGAGTTAATAGCAGTGTTATTTCAATGTTGTTTCCATCACCTGGGGATGGAAAAATCTCAAAGTTCTTATTTTGTCCTAGAAACAGGCAGAAAAGTAAATGGGGAAGGAAAAAGCCTTTGGGAAGTACAGTACCAGTATCAGCACCTGTGAGAGCCAGGAGAGGAGAGGGGGTGCCAGTGGGGAAGGGAGGGGGAGACCTTCTGTAAATCTGTAACTGAGATCTGGCTCACGACAAGTGGTTCAGCTTCTGGACCCTCTCTCCTGCTCTCTTGTTTTTGTTTAGTTCTCTTAATTCTCCTCTCTCATCAGGACAAAAAGGGGTTGAGTGAACGTAAATTATAAGTTGTGACTCAGTTGAGTTTACTGGAGTTATAATCTGGAGTTATAAATAAAATATGAATGGCAGCATGCCAGATCATCTGTTTTTATCTCTTTTTTAATAAAAATCAACTCTCGCTGTATTTATATAAAAATAATAGACGCTGCTGTTAACGCGCTTAAAAAAACCCACTTGTGCTTTTTATTTTGTCTTTTTCACTTTTCTTCACCTCAGTGGCACGCGTTATCCAGAGAAGAACAAGCGAAATACTATGAACTAGCAAGAAAGGAACGACAGCTTCATATGCAGCTGTACCCAGGCTGGTCTGCACGGGATAACTATGTAGGTTCCTATGTAGGTGGAAATTTTTTTAGTAGTAGAGCTTGTAGAAATGTATATGTGACCTGCTCAACTACGACCACACATTGCACACAAGCACTACTTGGAAAGCGTGCCTCAGGATCCCAATCTGGTAACAACAACGGACGCTTCCCTCTGCGATGCTAAAACTATTGGGGATAATTCCTAGCCCTCCACTTGAAAGAGGCTTCCTGGCTGGGACTAGTAAAAGGTTAGAATTGGGGCATGACAGTAGAGCTCTGTGAAGAAACTCTTGCCTTCACTTTTACCAGCATCTGGAAATGCTGTTTGGCTTGCTGGTCATTTTAAATTTCATTTTTTAAAACAAAATTAAAAATTTCCCTAGTATGGCTCCTCTCCTTTCCACCAAAAAGATGGATAATTAGTGTCTTGTGCTTATCTGTGTGAGAGTATAGTGGAAAGTGGAAGAATGACTTATCCTAGCTTCAGAGAAGGACTGGCAAAACCAAAAGTGTGACTTGTTTGAAAGTCTTACTCTCAAGTGGGGTTAAATGAATTATTCCACGCTCTACTGTTCTATATTTCAATTATGTTTTGCTTTTTCATGGCCATGTTATCTTTCCCCGTCCTCATTTTTTAAGAAGTGTTTTGGAGTTTGTGATCAATTCATGGAGTGTTTTTAAGATTGATTCCCCCCTCTGCCTTTCAGAAAGCCTGTTTTATAGCTAGAAGTGGTAGAATTTTCTATCTGTTATAAACATAAGGCCAGCGTTGTAACCACTTACTAGTAGTATATAACCCCTTCTTCCATGAAGGGTTAGCAGTGCATCTGGTAGTAAGTGTTCGCAAGCCTAAACCCATAAATTCTTGACAGATTTGTGGATTGGTGGGAGCTCTAAACCCTCTTTAATAGGATTATAGCAGCATCTTGATTATTTTTTTTTTAATGTAAATAAAAATCACCTAAAACTTTCAACGTCTCTAACTCTGGAACAAACCGTGCTCCCTACCTTCCAGGCAGACTTCTCTGCACGTTTGGGGACCAGCAGCTGTAAGATTGATGTCAGTTATGTATAGTGTTATGCATTTTGTTTTTATTGAAGTCTGTCTCTTCCATCATCATCATCATCACTGCCTATTTTACCGTATATATCCTATTTTGCCGTAAATCACATAAACTGTGTCCTTTGTATATGGGAATGTTTACCTCTATGAGAATCTGCACTTTTATGTGTACAGATGGGAAGAAACCAGTTCAGAGTCTGCAGCGAAGCCTAGAGCAGCAGCAGCAGCTCTCTACGCTCTTCCACCATTTCAGCAGTGGAGAATACACATGCTCATTTATTTAGCAATATGTACTTAAGGACATCTTCTCAAATCCTTCTGTTCTTTCTTGATCATCTTTTCTTTCCGTTGGGCTCTGCCTCGCTCCCTCCTTTGTTCACCATTGCAGATGTAGCTGTGCGTGCTCCTCAGAGGAGACCTTGTTAAGCCCGATGCGGTACTGCTGCTTAAACACATTTTCCCTTTCTTTTGGGCATAGTCTGGCCTGAGACTGTCAGACCATAGGCTTGAGGTAGTTCCTCGACACTGTGCAGTATCGTCTTCTTGGGTGTTCAAAAGGGAGTATAGGCTCAACTGAGGTTTCAGGAATGCTCATTCTGCGCAGTGACTGTGCCACCAACAGATGGGCATGTACAAAGCCTTCAGTGTTTAGGACCTTTTACTTTTGTCCTCACCATGTGAGCACTGAGAAATCCTTTCTTCTCAAGCTAAAAAGGACAGGATGAGAAAGCCGGTGCTTTCCCAGCGGCTTGATGCTGTACCCCCAAGTGACCTTCAGGGGGAACCTTCCTGCCTGAGCAGAGCTGGTACCTTGGCATCACACGATTGCATCATCCACAGGATTTATTTATTTTTCCTCTCCTGGTCCGTTCAGGGTTCCCCTCCTCCCTCGGCATTTCATCGGGTCTCAAGCCCTTCACGCATCTAGAAGGGGAGTGCGTTTGGACTGCTTGAAATGGTTAAATTGTTAGGCATCTCACATCAGGCATGAGGAAGAGGCCAGCTGTAGCCCAGGTCTTCAGAAATAGGAGCAGTACATTCAAGAAACGCAGCTTTCAACCTGCTCTTAAATAAGAGAAGAGGATTCAGGGAATCCCTCGTGGCTTGTTGGTGTCACAAGGCACATTTGCTTTTCCTGAGATCTAATATAAGATGTTAAGCAGCGCTGAGTGCTGGACTCAGAAGTATGTAAGGGTCTAGTCACCTCGCCTGCCACTTGTCTAGAAAATTAGTACCAAAGAACTCTGCAGTCCTGTCAAAACCCATGTTGGTTTGACTCTGTAGAGGGAGCTGCCAAAACAGTTAGCAAGTATTTACATTCACCTTTACTTGCAGCCTAAGAATTAGTATAGTACGATGATGGAAAATGTTACAGACCATCTGTTCAAGTCTTAGGAGGACAATCGGAGGCAAAGGCAAAACGGTGTCTTCTGCAGAGTACTTGAAAAACTGCTGCCATAATTCTTTTCTTAAGTCCATGTATTAATTTAGCTACGTAATCAAATATCTTCTCGTAGCACAGAAATTGAACAAGGAAGCCAGGTGACTCTTCTCTCTATTTCCTTTGAAAAGGGTGTAAAAGAAGTTAGTGGGACCTCTGTCAGTTCTTTGTTAGGAACAGTTTTCAAAGCTTGTGTTGAAAAGGAACCAGAAATTCCTGGTCCCTGGCTGACATTCCTGTATGCTGGCCATTTTTAACAGATTGCTCCCTAAAGGGTTTATAGTACTTTAATACCTGGCTTGAAGAGTTTGTAAAGGGCAGGTGGCTCCTGACCTCCGTTCTGGCTGGCCCTTGTGTGAAGAAGTTATAAGGTCTCAGATTGGTATAGCCCTTGAATTCCCAAATGTACTGCAAAAATTAAGCAAATTTGCCACAAGATGCAGTCTATTAATTATGCAAGTGGCCTCCTTGAGGTTAAATAGAAATCAGGCTTATGGTCCTGAGGCAATTGTCTGGTTTTGGTTACGTTGTTATAAACCTGGAAAAAATTCACTGACTTTCACAGAGTTACTGTCAATCTAGATCAATATAGGTGGAGCAGTCTGAGCCCCTTGTATCTTTATGTGATATGTGGACTTCAAGATACCATGTTTTTCCCTATTTTTTTCTCAGGGAGCTTTAGGAGCAATGCTTGTCTATCTTGTCTTCCTGTCAAGTTAGAGTGATGGTTGCTGTAGCAATTGACTCAGAGCAACAACTTTCCATATCCCCCAAAATGACCTCAGAGGTGTCGGAGGTGATTTCTCAGCAGCATCCAGGCCACAGGATTATGTGCACGTTGTTTAAAAATCTTTTAAAATTGACGGTGCACACAGCTTTTTCCACCGCCAGAAGGCTCTTGTGAACAAGACTGTGGTTGTCGTAGCCTGGACAGCAGGGTGGCAGTTTGTAACCCTGAGTAAGCAAGGGGGAATGAGTACAGAAGCCCCGTGCCAGAAAGCCAGCTTTTCGGGCGGAAAAATATGACAACAACAAATCAAAATCCAACATTCATGTTGGGGGAATTTTTTACCAATACATTCCAGGGAATGTATCATAGTGAGCGTCCCAAATGTTATAGTGGATGTCCCAAGCTGAAGCCCAATCTTAACCATTTAGCTGGGAGCCAGACCAACCTACTGAGAAAGATGTCCACCGTGTGGGAGAACCTCTTGGCTTCCCCACAGATATGTCCAGCCGTTCAAAAGTGCTGTGAGATTTCTTTTTCCAAGACATGTTTGTTCTCTTTTGACCACAAGGGACTGCTGGCCTGGTGTCTTTTCACCAACTTCTCTTAGTACCGTATCTTCAAAAGCAGGGATCTCTGTGCTGTTCGTAGTTGACATTGCTGGCCCAAAAGTGATTGCTTTTAGCATCTGGGGAGCTGTGAAAATGAAGTTACTCTGTCCCCTTGCACTGACCTTTTTGTGCTGCTCTGCAAACCCTGTAGCGCAGTGTTAGAAAAGTTTTCTTAGAAAATCACTCTTTTGAGCCATGCTCTTCTCTTGGAAAACGAGCATTGGGTTTCCACAGAAGTCGGGCTCCTGGTCATGTCCTCTCCCACACTGCTGAAGGGAAATGGAGAAAGGGCCTTTCTCCCTCCAGTCAGAAACCGTAACAAATTGCATCATCTTGTGGGACAGTATTTGGGAAAGTGACGCAGTTTAGCAAAACGTTACTGGTGATTTTTTCTTGTGATAGAGCAAAATGTGGGAAGTGTCTTAGTTATATCTGGATTTTTTTTCTCTTCCTGGCTTTGCTTCGTAAGTTGTCAGCGCACTTATAAACCTGGGTAGGTTTTGCTCATTACTGTGGCTTCCTCATCTGCTTTAACGGTCAGTTTTGGGTGCTGAGGAACTCCAGGGGCTCAATCTGACCTCACTCATGGACTCTCTCACCTTGAATCTCTGCTGTTGCCCCTTCTTCCCCTTGCCACCCCATAGAAACATGACCAGGAATGATTTTTTTGAAGCAGGAGTGTACAAGTGTCAATGTTTCTGTCTTGATGATAATCTTATCTCAAAAGAAGCATCTTGCAAGTCATTCTGCCCCCTCCCCAGCTGCTTATGGCTTTGGTGGGTGTTTCTCACCTTGAATCTCTGCTGTTGCCCCTTCTTCCCCTTGCCACCCCACAGAAACATGACCAGGAATGATTTTTTTGAAGCAGGAGTGTACAAGTGTCAATGTTTCTGTCTTGATGATAATCTTATCTCAAAACAAAAGAAGCGCAAGTCATTCTGCCCCCTCCCCAGCTGCTTATGGCTTTGGTGGGTGTTAGTGCTGGGGGGGGGGGGGGGGCTGCAGCGAGGCTGTCTGAAAAGGCATGGGGCGGGCAGGCAGAGGCATCCCTGGGGGGCCAGCATCC